TGTTACCGTCGGAGTTCCGCAAGGATCCATCCTTGGCCCACTTTTGTTTATCATATATATAAACGATCTGCCTCTGTCTCTGAAGCACTGTAAAGTCACTCTCTATGTCGACGACTCTGTTATTTACTGCTCTGATACCTCACTCGATAACATGCAATCCAGACTGAATGAGGATCTTCAAAGACTCACCCAATGGTTCTGCACAAACAAATTGTCTATCAATGTGTCGAAGTGTAAATTTATGTTACTTGGCCACTCTTCACGTCTTAGAGATTTCTCTTCTCTGTCGTTATCTATAAGTGGTGAAGATCTTGAACGTGTGGATTGTTACAAACATCTTGGGGTCACATGAATCAGCGTCTGATCACGTCTCAAACATTTCCTCCAAAATACGTAAACGAATATCAGTTTTATCTAGAATTAAATACATGCAACCTATATCTGTAAGACTAACTTTCTATAACACCATGATCAAGCCCATTTTTGAAGACAATAGTATTGTGTGGGGAGACGAAAGAAATACAGTTCGCATGGACACTCTTCAAATACTTCAAAACAGAGCTGCGAAGATAATCCTCGGCAGAGACTCAAGAGATTCTGCTACCCAAGCTTTGAAAGATCTCACTGGTTAACTTTAGTCAAAAAGAGAACTATCGACCGATGTATTTTTGTTTACAAATGCCTGAACAACCTCATTGAGTTTGATTCTGGTTTTAAATCATTTAAAAATAGACATGATTGCAATACTTGAAACAAACAAAAGCTTGCATTTGAATTATCTAAGACAAACTGGGGTTTTTTCAAAACTATCCCACACTGTGGAGAGGACTGGAACGCCATCGACTTGGAAACCAGAAACGCTGACAACCTCATTGCCTTTAAGAAATCAATTGTTAAGATTTTTTCTTAGCATTATATTTTTCTATTTCGCATATACCTTTGATACATTTTTCAATCTTTTATATATAATATTAGATATCCTCATTATTTCTTATTTATATTTTTGACATTTAGCTAAGGCCTCCCTGAATATCATGTTTGTATGAGTGGAGCATCCTCATTAAAGATCATTTCAGATCAGACCGAATGATCTCTCCACCATTGGCGTCAGTAACAACCGAAAACCAATTGGACGTTCCACCAGAGGAAAGACACAGAGACAGGTCGCAATGACAATCTGCCTCGCACGACATGTAAAAACTTTTAGGAAATATTTTTCTTTATGACAAGAATTCTACAAATTCTGCAAATTCTACCTTGCTTGATTTCGTGCGTATTATAATTACAATAAAATGAACGGGTGCCTTTCGTGTTGGAATGGGACACATGGTGCAGTTTGTCCAAGTATCCCTGTCTCCGGAAATTTTCGTCTCGAATACGAAAACGAAATCTTAAGTAGTTATCTAAGGGGCTCCAGCTGACCAAGGGATTATTCTATACACGGCTTGGGGGCCGAATGATTTCTACCCCTACGGTATCGATGAAAACCCATCTTAATTAGCCTCTAATCGTTAAGTAAAATATCCCCCAGTCCTTAACATGAGGTTTTTGAATGGTGTGTTGACCTGGTTTCAAAAGTAGCCACTATTTTGGTGGTTTAAAGTTGTCATTATATTGATAACTTATAAAGGCTCAAATCGTAGAAACAAATTGTTGAAAGCCCTTGAAGAAAAGTATTGAAGCCACGATCTATCAAAGGCTTGGTGTTCAAAGATAACAAGATCACTTTAAGCCACCTTAAAAATAGATGATTTTGAAACCTGGAGCACGCATTGTCAGGATACCTTGTGTGTAAGGTTGGTTGATGTTGAATTTTTTGATACCATTTTGAAGGAAACACGTGAAAAAGATCCATCAACGAAAATTGTGCTTTCAACACACCCTAAGATATTTTTCGTAAGGTGTAAGGTTACGGTATTCTTTGAAACTTCAAAATGCAGTCAGTCCAATGATTTTATACATAATTCTCCATGACGGAGATAGAATTCATATAATACCTCACCAAAAATAGATGATTTTGAAACCTGGAGCACGCATTGTCAGGATACCTTGTGTGTAAGGTTGGTTGATGATGAATTTTTTGATACCATTTTGAAGGAAACACGTGAAAAAGATCCATCAACGAAAATTGTGCTTTCAACACACCCTAAGATATTTTTCGTAAGGTGTAAGGTTACGGTATTCTTTGAAACTTCAAAATGCAGTCAGTCCAATGATTTTATACATAATTCTCCATGACGGAGATAGAAATCATATAATACCTCACCATACATCTCTTTAAATACAGGCTTCATAGTATGTTTAGAAAAAAATTTTTAAATATCGCTCAATGTCGGAGAAGCTCTCTTTTTTTTCTTCCCCACAGGATGCCCTCACCTGAGCTACGAAATGTCGGAGCAATATTAGGAAAAAATTGGCACCGAGACGAACCAGATAGCACAGGAAAATCGTCCGGCCCACGAAAATATTTTTGATTTGATCATCGTTGTTTTTCTCTCCTGGATCCATAACCAGCAGAGACGAGAAAGCAACGATGGTCAGGAGGGACGCACCACAATTCCGATCAACCTTATGCTTCTGATCATGAATATTCTAATAGGACAATGAAAATATCGGCTCTTACGAAAGAAAAACTTTCACATTGCTCAAGGAAAGGACGCCGAAAAATTAGTTTGAAAGACAGTTGAAAGAGAACATTTGCCAACAGCAGATGGGATAATTATCAAAGTCACGTTCCAATGCGAGGATTCAGACTAGGGCCAAGAGGCCAAGAGGCGAGTTCCCAAAGGCGATTGTTGATATTTTCGGTGGAAATACCAAGTATTATTAAGAACTGAAATAGTTACTTCGAACGTGCGTAGATACAGTTAAGCTATCTTTTTCATTCAAAGTCATTTATTAAACGCAGCTGGTTAAACGTTCAAACATTTCAGTTTCTTTGTGACCTACGCGATGATCCATTAAATTGGCCAAGGTAGTCCTTTTATTAAAAGACAAATGGATAGACGAATCTTTTCGATCAATGTCAGTACCTGAGCAACTTCGCCCCTACCCCTCCCCTAATCCAACATTAACCCTAGCTTGTTATCAAGGGAGAGATGAGTGTGCAGTTGCTCAGATACTGACATTGATTTAATCTTTTTATTTCCGTTTTACAGCGAAAATCTCAAGCCTTGCGAGTAGTGCTCCTGAACCTTAAATATTTTCCTGATATTTCAGCGGAGGAGATTTCATCATGGTTTTTAGACTTCTTTCTGGATTTCCCAGCTTATCTCTTCTACTTCTCTAAAGGAGGCCACTTATGCCATCCAAGAAAGCACATTTCCCTGCTAGGCATTCAATCCTTGTGTGCGAAATTTGCTCTTTTCACTTTACCAAACACGCATTTAGCGAGATGATCTAAGAAAATTAATCTCAAGCAACAATTCGCGCACGTTTCCTCTCACTATTCACACCGTGCTGTCATTTTTTGCTTTATAGTTCTCTTTGTAGTCAGTCTGTATCACATCCGGGAGATTTGATAACGACGCACTATTACAAGAACAAGTCAAACCAGTTTCAAGCGAAACGTGTTCTGTTCTACTTTGCTCTGGATCCTAGGAGTAAAATATTTAAACAAATATCGTCAATGTAGTAAATTGTTTTAAATTCTGCTGAATCAACAATACAGCTATAAACACTTTCATCAGAAAATTAGGAGAATTATTTGATTTTCACTCTTTTTTTCATAACCCTTTACACCCTAACATCAGTATGCATATTCTCCATACTCCATTCTACCATATATCTCTTTACATTACCTAAGGTGATAAGGAGAATTTGTTTAACAATTAATTCAAGAGCTTCTTTAGTTTGTGATTATTTCCTGTATTGTCGTGACCTTAATGTTTGTTTCAGGAGTGATAATATATAGATTTAGCCAAGCCTAAAAGCTCGCATTTTTTTTTTCCCGCACGTCTCAAGGGCACAACGCCTTGCCCCGGCCAGGACTAGAACCTGGGTCGTCCGACTCGGAGCCCAGTGCACTGACAACTGGACTACTGGACAAAGCCGTGGCGTTGGAGTGCCCGCGGTACAGTTGACCACACATGTTGAAAGTAGCACCTTGTACGGTCGTAAGGTCGTACGGTCGTACATCCAAATTTTTTCGGCTTGATGGGTTACTACTATTTTGTATAATTATGGAGCTACTGCGAGCTCCGCTATTATAAGGAGAAATTAGATGCTAGTCACTCTCAGGAGTCCAATGGTTAAAAAAAAAAAATAGCGCTTCTCAGTCAAACAATATGTTTCTTAAAGAAAAGAATTAAGCAAAAAAGAGGGGTCGCTCTTTGTTTTTATTTCAAACATGGCTTGCTGTTTTGGTAAGTTCCTTTATTAGCTCGAAAAACTCGTGTTCCTCTCGTGACTGACCTAGAAAACGCGTCATCCTTTGAATCAATGAGATCTAAAGTTAGAGACACAAAGACTAACTCGCGAAGTTGATTGCCAGTGTGAACCGACAAGTTATCACTGGGTTAAAAGAAGTAGTTTGTTTGTTCTCAAAGAATTTGTAACAACTTGTGTTTTGATTGATGATTTCTGATCTTGAATAACGCACTTTTCAATCATAATTCAACTTCCATACGACAAGATATTTTGGGGAAAAATTACAGCTTTGGCAATATCATACAACAGCGAGTTTAATAATAAACGGCTCTTCAAAGACAAGTTTACTTCCCTGCCGTAAGAAAGCACTTCGATCGATTACCATGAAGCAAAAACCAGAGTTACTGCACGAAGCCAATGAGAACTCGAGACAAAAACATGTAAAATGTCTGATGCGCAGCAAAAACATAAGTGGCCACGTCGTGATTGGTTTCAGTGTTAATTCTGATTGGTTGAGAGAATGCTGTGAGTTTTCTGGACCAGTCGCAGAGAGAAGAAAAACAAAACTAAACCAATCCAAATGATTTTCGACACTCAATTGCAATTTTCTCTGATCATAAAGCGGTTAAATACCTGATGTAGTGTTGGTGTACAACTTCCCAACTCATTTTGACCATCAGTTTGATTCTCGTCTTGTTCCTCAAATAGCTGAATTTCTGTCTGTTCAACGTTTTTCTGTAGATTTTCATCTTCTGTGTTTTAAAAAAGAGAGAGATCCATGTCTTTAAACGCGATGGCTAACAAGGCATTGCTTGGTCCAGTAAATTTTATTTATTGTAGAAGTGATAAACCTAGCTTTAACACTGGAGTTTTATAAACATGGCTCAATGATACAATTTGACAAAAAGCGTTCAAGAGTTCTGTTTAAGATCACGGGTTTAAATGAAATTTCTCACTCGTTTCGCCAAGCTTCAGCAAAGACACATTTATCACTAATCCACTTCCACTAATCATATCAGTCTCTGAATGAACCGAGAAATACTATATTATAAAAAAAAAATATCGTACCAACTGTTCCATATATATTGGTCACTTCTGCTGGTGGTTTATAAACAAATCTTTCTAGAAATGCAACATCCTCGGGGCGTGTTATGGTATTAGTTCTCCGCTGAATTGAACCCTGCGGCTGACAAAAAATCAAAAGTACAGAAATATATTCAACTTTCTGAGGTTCTCTACATACTAGAAAGAGTAGACTACTTCAGTCGCAAACATCAAAAAACGCAAAAAACTCATAGCACCAACTTTGGCATAAAAATGTAACTCCCTGACTTTTTCCCCCTTTCAAGTTATAGATCAAGGGAGAATCGGGGAAAGGGGACTGATTCCCCCCCTCCCTGTTCTCTTCTCCCCTCCCACCCCTCCCTTAAATGTACAATTCTCCTGGAGTTCACATGAATTTCTTTGAATAAATCTGTAGCAAAATAGCATTTTCCTTTGCCATTTTATCGAGATAATGCATTTCTCATTAAAGTATTTCCTATTTATTATGAGATTGGATGCAATTTGAGATATTCTGCAAAACTGCTCGAGTCTATGCAAGCAGAAGCATGCCAACTTTTGTAAAGATCTTTTCACCTTCAATTCTCTTACTAGCAAGAACACAGTCCAGCACAGTCTGTCTGAAACCACTAGGTGAGGAAGCAAAAATTCTGGCAGCACTAGGATTTACAGCATCCTCAAGAACTGGATTTGGTAGCAGCATCTGTGAAATTTGACAAGAAATTGAAAGAAGTGATTCAATCTTTGGTTGTACAGTCAGAAATCTTAAGAGTGAATGTCTCTAAAAATCAAAGAAAAATAACAAAATCGCGGACATGGTCAAAAAATCGTTTCGTCCCATTTTTTGTCTACAGGTAGCTATAGGTACTACTTAAAGTGAAGTGAGGTTAGTTTGTGTAAATATTCATTTTAACGGAAATAAACCGATACTAATTGCATGATCGAAAATGAGTGCCTGCGAGCTCTAAATTATGCAGTTTTCAGGCCGTCCTTGCATGAACTAAAATGCAACAGCAGAACTTCTCTAGCTATAAATATATACTTGTGGCCTTCCATTACCAAGTTGTAGTGATATTTTTTACATCGCGTCCTTCCTGACGAAACCACGGGTTAATTACCAGTGGACGTGTTCGCCATATTTAGTTCATACCAAACCCGGCCTAATGTAGTGTGGCAAAAATGCATGTGGTAGTTTCTCAAAATCTCCAGAAATACTATCACGAGGGCTTATAAGGTGGGTCTTCAAATTCATCGTTTAATTTTTCTGGTATCTTCTGCTGTTTTGATGTACCAACCAACCAAACTTCGCTAAAATTTTAAATGGCGCCATATTGAAATGAACAAAATCAACATTGCAGTGACACAAGCAAAGCATTGTTTGAGTCGCAGCCGCACTTAACTTTTTATTTTTGCTTTGAAATCAATAGTTCCTTACCTAAGAAATCTTTATATATCTATATAGGCCCTTGTTATTCCGCTTGGAAGATATTTTCGAAATACTGTCATTTGCAATTTGGTGTGAAGGGGGCCGACCGGCTAACTCGTTGAAGCCACTGAGCCGGGATGAGTAAAATAAAGTTACTTGTTGTTGTCACTTTCTACAGCGTGTCACAACCCAGTTACCTTTAGTCTACTTTGATCCTAATTTGGTTTTTTTTGATGTCTCACACAAAAAGGGTCCCGCACAAAACGGCAGGTAACGCTAGCGATTTGCCGGATTTTAATTTTTCACAGGTTCCTGTCACTCTGCGTGACATATGATAATCTGTCACGTAACGAGATCAACAAACAATTCATTCTGCCTCACATGTAAGATCTAAACAAATATATTGCCATCATGAACGAGAACGATACAACAAAGAAATAGACTTTAAAAAATTTCACAAATATAAACCGTACAGTGAAAACCTTATGGAACGAAAATAACGATACAATTTTCCCACGGAAAACAAATGTGATCGGTTAACGAAAGTGAACAAAAAACAAAAGCGTAATAATCGTCGGTGAAGGGAATAAAGACAACGGTTGCTTTAACTCCAGCAGAAAAAGAATGTCTTAATCTTTACATGATATTGTAGGTGGCGTTTGTGGCGCAGAGGAAGCCACAAGCGTTTTTTACAATTTTCAGGTGCTGAGACAGAGATTGAACTTATCTTAGCAAGAAGCGGGATTTTCGTGAAGCCTGATACACGGAAGAGCTGCTCCTCTTCCAAACCAGGAGAAAAAGAAAATGAGAATTGAACCTGTAAGATTAGAACATTTTGTTTCTTTCATAACGAGTCCACACGTTACTCAGGATGTTCCTTTCGGGGAAAAACTTCTAAAATTGTCGACTGGCGAGATCATAAAAACACCCAATGTTATCAGAACAATGATACCAGAGCGTATTGTCCAATAGTATCAACAATACTGCTGTGAAACCAACTTTGAGCCTATGAGTAAGAGAACTTTGTTACAGAGAGTTTGGGCCGTGTGTTCTTCATCTGTTCGCAAGTCTCTATTCAGCATCAGGAATGGAAGCGGTTGATGCTATAGAAAAACTAGTAGACAAGCTTGTTGACTGTGGCAAGAATCAGCAACGAGCGAGGTAAATTAAGCAGCAACTTCGTTTTTCGAAGCAGTACCTAAAGGGCGACTACAAGGTGGGTGCATATTTTATAATTATGCGTTGCCTTCGCAGAAGTGATGTAGTAAACTTCTTACTATGATTCACGGCTACCTCTTTCTTTCTCTCCAAGTCTTCTTTATGCTTAATTGATGAAACAACAGTTTACAATTCACTGTAATACGCTTACACACATGTATACAACGCTGAGAATCGATTAAGTAATCTTTTTGAAATGTCGATCATATGCGCATGCAATGCTTTGTAAATATACATTGAATCACGCGCTTGTCATTTTACTTTTTATTTCAGGTACATGCGGTGGAGGCCTCAAAGGTTTCCGATCATTGTCGAATTTACGCGCTAAGTGACCCGAGCAATGCTGAATTTCGGGGCTCCTGTGACCATCTCCACAATGAGCCATATGAGCAGTGTTATGAGTTACAGGAAGTATTGTGTACCATAGAAGATGAGTGTTCAAGTGCGCTCTCGTCAGCAGAAGATCAAGCTGACATGCAACTTACCATCAAACAGGCAAGGGATGATATCATTTGCTGGAAAGCCCATCAGCTACGTTCAGTCCACCAAGCTGAGGCGAAGCATTCAGTTTTAGCCAAACTCGACAGCCGATCGGTGTTGTTAGTCCAGGACTGGGCAATGAAATATATACCCCGAAAATATCGAGAGGTGCAGTCAGATTGGTTTGCGAGCGAGGATTGCCATGGCTCATTAGCGTTGCCATAAGACGGTCAGAGGGTTCTGAGCACTTTGAATCACAGACACCTGTTCACGTATTTCAAAGCTGCGCCCAAGACAGTGTGACTGTGGCTTCGATTATGCTTGACTGCCTCACTACCCTGAAAAAGGAAATTCCAGAGCTGGAAATGGCTTATTACAAACAAGATAACGCTGGCTGTTATCACAGCGGAAATTCAATCATCTCAGCTAAGCTGGCCGTTGATGCCATGGGAGTGGCTGTTGTAAGAAACGACTTTTCGGATCCTCAAGGTGGAAAGGGGGTATGTGATCGCAAAGCGGCAACAATCAAGGGAAGGTACGTTGGAAGGTACGTAAACGAAGGCAATGATGTCATCAACGCTCTACAGTTCAAAACAGCCATTGAATCTGGAAAAAGAAACCACAGGAGAGAAAGCAAGTTATGTTGCTGCCAAACCGTCAAACACCTTTAATATCAAATGGGATGGCATAAGCTTATTCAACAATTTTGAGTACGATGAAAGTGACACATGAGTGTGGAGAGCATTCAATGTGGGTTCCGGTAAAGTAGTGCCATGGGCTAAGTTCGAAGGAGTCATGAAGTAGCCCGAAAAATTGGAAATCCTAGACTCGCCATCGCAGAGTCCAAGTGGCGCACCGACGTTCAAGATTGTGAGACACCGACATATTAAGGAAAGCTCTGTCAAAGCAAATTTCTTAACTGAAAGCGAAAACCAAGATCGAAGCTGTATTGGGGAATATAAGCCAGATGACATGCTTTTCCCGTGTCCAGAAGAAGGATATGTAAAAGCCTACAGTCGCTTTGCAAACCTCCAGACACACCTAGATACTGGAAAACACCAAATGATGCTCGAACAGGAAACTCTCTACGATAAAGCTAAAAGAGAATATTCTTCCAGGCTGATGGAGGGACGCAGTCGAATACCAAGCGTTCAAGTTGCTGCACGATCAAAGAGAGACGGCTTGCCGCCTCTTCCAATGGGTTGGGCCTTGAAGACAATTAAGAAAAAGGTGCGTTTTACAAGGAAACAGACCGAATTCTTAACTGACCAATTTCAAAAAGGGGAGTATAATGGACGGAAAAGCGATCCACAGGAAGTTTCGAAAACCATGAGCCTAGCAAGAGACCAAGCGGAGGGACGTCGATTTCAACCTGATTAAGTCCTTACGTCGCAGCAGATTAGTGGCTTCTTCAGCCGTCTTTCAGCAAAGAAGCGATTAGAAGTTACAGCCGCCGGTAACCGAGGAAAAGCTAGTGAAATCTCAGAAGTGGACATGGAGAGCGTCGAAAAGGACAAAATTTCCGCCGAAGCTGAGAGTCATCTATCTGCAGTGTGTGCAAATGTGATGAGAGATATGGCTATTCAACATCCGATTGTATCTTTCGATCTAAATATCTACGAACTTGTACAAAAACGTACACTCACAACTTTAAGAGTGGATAGGCTAAGAGACATGTGCATCGACCTTGGGCTGGATATTTCTGACATTTCACCTCAGAAGAGGAAAAAGCCATTCATCGCACGACTCACACAATTAGTCCAGGAGTGTACCTGCTCTTCCAAGTAACTGAGCACTGAACGTTTTACGAATAACTGATCTGCTGATTATAAAAGCGGTGCGTGTATTATTTACATGAAGGCGTTGCGTGACAGCAGAGTCCTACATATCGGATTTTAGTCACTCGAGCTCACCATTGCTTGTGAAACCTCCTTATCTTTGTGTTGGACGATTTTCAGTAAATTCGAAACTGGCGAGTGCAGAAGGCGCAGAAGGGATGCAAATGCTCGAATCCATGTTCACTGGATGAGAAGTAAACGGAAACTAACGGCTTTGTGCCAAATTTAACCTTTTGAGTGCAATTCAACTGTTTAACCTCTTGTGAGTAGAATTATGAAGAATTACGGCGTGATTCTCAAAGGGTAGCAAAAGTCGAAAATTGTTTCTCCTGTCTCCGTATATAAAAATCAAGTGTAGTTATAGACATTTTAATATGTTTCTAGTCATTTTAACGGCCAGTGAAGATATAACTGACCAAAACAGTTATTTGTGTCCGACGCGTTTAATTTTGTTATTATGCATCTCATTATGGCGTCACGGTAATTTAACCGAAATTCGGCTGGTGGTCATCTTTTGATAGTCAAAGGTCCCAAAGAAATAAAACCCACATCGTAAAGAACTATCTTTCAAGGCTTCTTGGTAGTGTTATTGTAAACTTTGAGACACTACCACATGTATTTTTGCCAAGCTATTCTAGGCCACCTTTGCCTTAATTTCGAAAGGCCGAAGATGTCGTCTCTTAATAGGGACGTAGCTCCTCCAAGAATAACATGAGACAAAAACTATCACTTTGTCTCGATAATGCAAGTCCAACTCAATATTTCTATAACTAGAAAAGTCCTTCTGTTACATTTTTGTTAGCATGACAAGTGCCCGAAAAGTGCATAATTTCAGGATCGCGCTTGGTGAAATTTGAGCTATTTACCCCCGGAAATGTTAAAACAAATTATCTAACCCCATTTCCGTTTGCTTACTAGATAAGACTACCCACAGGCAAAAAATGAACCAAATCGATTTTTGACCGTGTCCGCGACTTTTTCGATAATCTGTGATTTTTATTGACATTTACTCTTAACCCTTTAACTTCCAAGATCTGGTTGTTAATTCTCCCCTCTGGCTGCAACACATTTCCTTGTCAATAAGTTATGAGAATTTAGTGTTAGATCAAGATAACAACTTCTACCTGATACATTTGAGTATTCTCATTACCTGTTTGCTGGATAGTGCACGGATATTGTAGGGAGAAATTACTTGTTAATCACTTCTGGGAGTTAAAGGGTTAAGGTCTCCATCCATCAAGAGTTCAGTATCAATAACTCTTCAACTCTTATTAATTATTCGATGAAAGTTAAATGTCATGCCTGAGAACTAAACACAATGCCCAAACCAGATGCAAGCTGGGAACTCTTGACCTGAAAGTCCAGCATGTCAAATGAGAAGCCACAGCATCTTGCAACATGAATTTGTTGGAATAAACACAAATTAGCAAATACTACATGTACCAGTAGGTATTTAATAAGACACAAAAAAGGACAAACTTGGAAGTTTGAACTACATGTACAGACATTGTGTTACTGCATTTTATTTGTGTTTTTTTTACCTGGATACTGAGTAGCATATAAGAAATTGAATAAAACTCTTTCCAGCAATTCAAATCATCAAGAAAGTCTGCACATACTTGACCTGTGTCTGCATCAACTGAAAAGCAACAATGGCAAGAGACAGTTAAAATCTGAAGATTTTCTATACAATAAGGATACAAATTTAGTTTTTTTGATGATTGCTAACAGCTTTATTCTGCTTGTAAACTTTTATGGAATAATGATCTTGAAAGAATTGGAAGGAGGAACCCAGAATATATTGCAAATAGAATAAGGAAGATGATAAGTTTTAAGCTTGGTAAAGAAATAAAGAAAGATGTTTTTCGTCTTGTCACAAGCGTGGCACAAAGAAAATGTGTCCAGTATTAACTGCTAGGATCAGCAACATTGCCAATCCTAGCAGTATACAGGACAAGTGTTGTATATGAAAATATACGACTTCACAATGGGCCTTGCTCACCATAGAGTCTCTGTGGCTCCATCAGAGCAGGGAATCTGAACCCGAAGGTCTGAGGTTTGATTCCTCAAGGGGACTCAGAATTTTTTCTTTGTTTCGCACTTGTGACTAGTCAAAAATACATTTTTCTCCACAATATACTCCTTGCATAAAAATCTACATACAGACTAAGAGAAACAAGTTTTGAAGGGGAGGGGAAGTGTGACATAAAGTTTAGTTGATTGTGGTTAATCATGACAGGCTTGAAACACTTCCTCAAGCAGCACCTGCTCAAGAGAACTTTGACAGTGTAAAAAAGCTCTCATTGCATTTGTCACATTCAAACTCTTCTAAAGTGGTACTCTAAGGTTACTTTCAAGGAGCCATAAGGTCTCTTTTTTTTAAGTTGGGAAAGGGGGAGGGTGCAAGCCTTTTTAATTAATTACCCTACTCCTTTGGCCCTAGCAAAAAATTTGACATTACTGCATCTGAGAGAAGCAAACATAATTTATTACAAACTCTCTATTTGGGGAACACAGTAACTTCCAGGGCAATCCAAAACATCACATACAAAAAATCATTCTCACCCCACAACCCTAACAACATAATAATCTCACCATTTGGATGGAAGGGTATTGTGTGAAAGAAAATCTTTGGTGGTCTGCCATTGTAGCACTCATCAAACTGAAGATACAACTTGAAGACACCACCTGAAAAAAAAAATAATGAAAAAAGTTATTTGTAATTAATTCCAAAGATAAGGTGGGTTATTCTCCTTTCTATCTCTTATAGACCACCTTATGAGCTAGTTATGAGAATTTGGTACTATATCAAAGTAAGATGTGTATCTGTATTCTCCCCCCTTGTTTTATTGGATAATGTTTTTAATTTGTGAGGAAAAGTTAGAAGTTTAAGGGTGAAGACAGTCACAGGGTTAACAAAATGAAGATCAAGGAAGACATTTTGCCATATGACTTACAGGTAGGCTTTGGCAGAGGAAAGCAAAAAATCAACAGTGATTCATGTACCTTCCCACATTGTGTCTTTGGGGCCTTTTAAGGTACCTTCCCAGGTAAACATGTCCACATCCTCATTCAGTGGGTTGGCCTTTATGCCCTAAACAGAGAGAAATATATAAACTCCCAGGAACATTATGACTTCAAGAGAGGATCCACCTTCCCCTGAATCAAAGTTTTCCCTATCCCCTCCCCTCCCCCACACAATAAAAAAGTTTTAGATCTACCCTTGTGACTCCCAATCAAACCATCATATGTCACACAAATACTTCCAGTTTCAAGCTTCAGCTGTACGTTCATGATGGTAATTGGACTGAGGGGAGTCCGATTCTGTCTGTAATCATAGGAGTGAAAGCAAAATCAGAGGACCACCAAGGAGGAGTCCATTTGTTAATTATCAGTATGATTACAGACAGAATTGGATGACAAGAAGTCCTGTTACCAATTAATCATAACCATTACAATGTTAAAAAAAAAAACAAAAACAAAATACATCTAGAACAAATATATCTAATGGAGACAATGTATTAGGTAAAAAATTCCTCCATTCTGGAAATTTTCCATTTTTTTCTGAGAGAAGTAGTTGTTGCTGAGGTTATTGTGATCAATTCTGTGATTGGTGGATTTGGCTGAAAGGACATAGTATGATTTGCTGCTTCAGCTGTCTGATTTCATATACAGGTGTCCAATTACAGCCAACTGTTCCATTACACTGTCTGATTACAACTGAACAGAATGATTAGTGAAGAATAAAGCACCTAATCCACCAATTACATCTGAGGAATTGAAATGGCTAATTGATTAATAACGGTAATAGGACCAAGTGGAGTCCAATTTGGTCCACAATCATACGAGCGATTGACAAAATCAGATGACCGCAAAGCGGGAGTCCAATTTTTTTAATTACAAGTATGATTACTAACAGAACTGGATGACACAAAGTCCTGTTAACAATTAATCAAAGCTATGAAAAATTTGAGAAAGAAACTAGATATCAGTGTTACATTTTCATTTAAAAAAAAACTACAGTTAACTTGGCAAAATGCAAGACAACAGCATAAGCACATGCTGCATTCTGTTCACTTACACAGGCATGACATATCAAGTGTCCCTTTAACTGTCCTATTACACTGTCTAGTTACAAGCATGACGCGAACACTTTCCTATTAGAGCTCAAATCAGGCTGGTGATAACCAATCACGTTTGACAATTTTCAGTGTTATAGTTTTGATTAATTCATTAACAGTAAAAACCACAACTCTACTCCAAGTCCCAAAGTGCTGACTTTCATAAATCCAGTCACTAAATAGATGATCACTGAGGTCCACTTCATTGGCAAGCTCAAATTTTAAGAACGAGGGAGTGATAACAAACCTAGTAGTATTCACTAGGATGAAAACAGAAACCTTTAATTATTTAGTTAACAGTGACTAGTATCCCTCGTTTCGTCGACCAATTAACATATATCTGAGTGTACTACATCGAATTCTTACCTCTAGACTCGTGACACATCATTTGAAGGAAGTATATAAATGTGAACAAAAACACTATACGATCGCAATGAACACAAATAAGTTTCAAATGAGCACAATACATACTAAATTTACAACGCTCACTACATAATGTTAGAAGGTACACGTGTGATTAGTGTAACATACCCAAGGAAGCTCTTCCTTTTGCAATTTAAACCACTCTTTCTCGAGTAACATGTGCGCCCTTGAATGCATTCTTCCACTGTTCTGGAGCACGCACAATTTCGGCTCGCTAGAGGCAAGTTACTTAAAAAACGAAAGAGCAATTACAGCAATCTCTCCGACAAACACCTCACTCTGTCCATGAAAACTTCTTCACTAAATTTAATCATAATTTACATCGCTGCTGCAGCCGATTTGATGCGCTCTACAGGGGTACCAGTATTCAAAATCGAAGGAAGATGAAACCTTCTCCTGTACCGTCCGCCATATTGTAACAATTATTCTTCGGCGTGGTTGCATAGCAACAACAATAAATAAGATTTAGAGCCCAGTTTCCCAGTTTTCGATCATGCCCTCGCGATCATCAAAATTTACAATTTTTTTTCTTGTTATCAGTTACCATTATTATTAATGTTATCACATCATTTAAATTTTAGTTCTTAGTCTATATCGGGTATGATTATAGCTCTATCCCATCACAAAGAACAGTTTTGATCTTTTGAACTGTTCGCAGATAATTTTCAAATTGAAATTTTATGCAACGGAAAATCTCGATCAACCTTTTGTTTTTCAAGACCCAAATAAACTCTGAATTTATTATGCGCATTTGAAGTCTAGTGCGTTAGCTCCATCGGGAAGCTCCGTATCTGGAGTCGACAGCCCGAGCGATACGCAATGAATGTGTTTTCACACGGTTTGTTTGTTAGGGCGGCATTTGTAGATCAGCTCTATGATCAAGCGAAGTTTCTTGTACGACGGATCTTCTTCTCAAGGAAACTGTGGAGTAAAAATTTCCGTGGTACTAAAATTTTCCAAAGTCGAACTTTTTTCGCTTTTGGAGGCTTTTGTAACTAATCTAGTAGGCACGCTGATGCGTTATGCAAATCTGCTTTAGTTTAGCAGCTCAAGAAGCTCTTATGCAAACAATAACCTGTCTCGTCCTTTCTATCAACCAATGGCCGCCTATCTATATTGACATAAGAGCGAATATTTATTCAAATCGTTGAATTCAATATTATGCCCTAGAAACGGCTTATAAACAGAAACCACGGTAAAAAGAGTTGAGAGGAGCTGAAGCAAGAAAGTGTTTTGAAAATAAAATGTCGTCAGATGAAGAAAGCGTTGAGGACGAAGGAGAAAGAAGGTCCTATTTAGGAGAATATGAAGGTGATCGAAATGAAGAAGAAGAAAGACATGGAAAAGGAAAAGCTAAGCTGCCTAATGGCGATGTATATGAAGGAGAATATTCACATGGCAAGAGACATGGTCAGGGAACATACAAGTGAGATCTTTTTGTTATTATTCGATTGAAAAACAGTAAGTTATAAAGACAACTTTAGTCGGAATAGTGGGAAAATGATAATCTGGGTGACCATTGAAAATTGAAAGCCAGCTACTTCAAATTTCGCGGTCATCAAGCTACAATGAGATTCTTCTGCAATGTCTTCTCTCCTTGATAAAATTCATTTCACGTTTAGATGCCGTTTAAGCGCTTAATTCTAATTAGGTAATTCTTATTGCCGATTTTAGATTTCAAAACGGAGCAAGATATACTGGAAGTTACATGAACGGTATAAAACACGGCGAAGGAACATTCCTGTATCCTGATGGCTCCAAATATGAAGGGTACTGGCTTAACGATGTCCGTCATGGCCGCGGGAAATACACCTACCCGAACGGGGACATTTACGAGCGGGAGTGGGCCGACAACCAGCGTCATGGTCAAGGGGAGTACACGTACGTGGAGACCGGGTCTAAATACCGGGGGATGTGGGTCCATGGGAAAATGGACGAAGTTGGGGAACTGATTCATGCTAACCATCGGTGTTCCGGGGGATTTTTGCAAGATAAACCCAGCGGAAAAGGTAAATATGTGTTTGATCACGGCTGCGAGATGCGAGGGAGATATGAACTGGTTGAAGTTGTTCTTGAGCCTGACAACGAGGAAGAGGAAGCCATCACTGTTGTTGAACCAAAGTGGAAAATAGAGGAACTTGTACCACTGGACTGAAAATTAAGCGCAGGTTTTGGTTGATCTAAGGCAAAATGCAAGAAAGCGTTTTAACACTTCATATAGGCAAATTTTGCTCACAAAGTAATCAACCAAAATCGATAGCCCTCCAAGAACTCCAATGACTTTGACTTCATTCAATGTATATGATAATTTTGCAAATATATCGGCCTCGTAGACACTTAATAGGTTTTTAAGCTTCCTCGTGATGTAAATCGAAAGTCTTCCATACAAGAACGAATAGAACCCATTTGAAAGGCAAAAAATCCCTTGAGTGCCGTTTAGTGATCTCAAAAGAGACAACAAAAGAACTGAATAAAAAGGGTTTATCTTCTTGAGGTTGGTTAGAATAGAAAATAGAGTTCTAAAAGAACCTCTTCTTTCCTGGATTCCATGTACATCATACGTCGCAATAGCGAAATTAATAAACGCGTTAGCTTGTATGCTGGAGGAACAACACCCCTGTGTAGGTTCTAGTCCTACCTGCGGCGTGCACAAATTTTCCTTTCCTTCCCTCCCCCACTCAGTTTGCTTCGTTGTTTTTGTTTAAAACCAATTAACTCGCGCAATTCGTTTTCCTTTTTACTTTTATTCATGATCATTTTACGCTTTAGTACGATTTCCTTTTTAAAGAAGGGGGGGGGGGGGGTCAGTCTTCCCCAAGAGAGTATTAAGGTAGTGGGGGATATTGAAAATTGACTACCCCACCTTCCCACGGGCGTTAAAAAATGACGGTTCTTTACTTAAATCTCATTCACAGCATAGCTTAATAATGTTTTAAATTAAAAAGCTGTTTTGTTACACAGGTTTGAAATTGTTTCCTTCGTCGAAGCTTCTTGAACTAGCTTTTGCCGAGTTCAAATTTAGAATATTGAAAATGCAAATTTCCCTGCCCTGCATACAGACTGGTAAGGCACAATCAAAGGTCTATCCCAATGATTGGGTTGTGATATTCATATTTTCGGATCCCGATATATAAACACTAACCTTTATTAGGCGCGAAAATATGCAAGGATATTTGTCCGCGGACATTATCTTTTCCAAGATGCGAACAATTTTCCGAAAACAAAGCACGAGGAAAATTGTTAGCGTCGATCAAGGAACAAATAACGTCCAAGGACAAATTTACAGATATCCCCCATTTTAGCTGGGGATGTCTGGTTACGTGATGCGTTTAGACCAATCACGCGCGAACAAAGTTTATCCTTTTCTATCTAATACTGTCGGAAATACAGGTCTTGCGTTGGTCAAGAACGGAATGAGTCAACCGTCGGATAGAGTATGGAGCTGCAAATCAAAGTTTCGTTATACTGTTTCATTTTGCGGTTGTTGTAGACTACCGACATACATTTCTTCCCAAATTTTAGGTCCTCGAATCTTCGAAAACATCAGAAAATGGAGAATGACTAATCATTGGATTGGATTCACTAGGACCCGCAAAGGTAAGCTGAATGTTGATTAGTTTTCATGTACTGACTGCCTGTTAGTTCGTCGATTTGAGGTTTGTGCGACCAAATATTAACCCTATAAACAAAAATCGATTTTGATTTGTATTCCATCGGCGAGTTGATTGTCTTTGTTAGGTATTCATAAATGTGATTTGTAAGATTTTTAGTCTGGAGAACCCGTGAAATAGATGTGTTTGTTCGAGTTGAAAATATTTTGTATCTGTGATTCGTAAGATTATTAGCAAAGCGAAATATAGCAGATTGAACAAAAGTATATGATCGAGTTGAAAATTGACGCGCAGATATGTAGTAATCAAACAGTCGTTGATACCAAGGCGTGCAAAAGTGCTTTTTTTTCATATTTAGAAATGTTTGCACCGAAGAAAATTATAAAAATTCAGATTATTTCTTCCAAAGAACTCAAGAGAATGAATTTCGTGTCCATTTTCATTTTCACACTGTAGCATGTTTAAACATCATAGTTTTGACGTGAGAAGAAAAAGTATAAACGTAGGATCGCACATGATCCTTACAAACTCGATTATTGAACGCGAAATGTTGATTCCTTTGGGTTGAATCTATGTATTTACCGTTATTTGCTGACTTGATTTGTATGAACTAATTTAATAAACTAACGATGGTCAAAAATCGCTCCTGAATCTTTCACCAGCTCGTTTTCATTCGGTCTGTTTATTTGGCACTCGTATCTGTGATTCAGTGATAGATTTTTAGACGAGGAAATATCATTCGTTGAGCAGATGTGTTTGTTCGAGTCGAACATTTTGGCGGGGAAGCATGCACTTGTGGTGTTATCACGCGTCGAAGCTGACAAAATTGTGTCCTTCGCAGTTATATCTACTTATTTCAAGTAAAAATTAAAACTTTCGGATTGTTTGTTTCAAAATAGCTCAAATGGATGAATAGTTGACGTTAAGTTCGACTGTAGAAGCCTCTCTAGAGGTTCTCTCTGGCATTCTTTCCAGTCAAGCAACAGAAATGGCACGCCATAGAATTGGCGCCGTTTTCATTTTAGTTCTTATGCACGTTCAGACATCATAATTTTGACAAGAAAAAAGAAGGGAGAGACTTGGGATTGGACTTTTTTTTTTTTTTTTTTTTTATTTTTTTATTTTCACTTAAAGCACAAATACTAGAATAATACAAACAAATACAAAGTTAATTACACTAACGCTTACGCTACTCACTAACACTAATTACGAAATACTGCGTTACATTACATTCACAGTCGGCTAGATTTAATTTATGTTGTGGTTATATAATAATATAAACCTAATTTGTACAAATACTTCTACATCAAATTCCTTTTTTGGTAGAACGACTGTATATACAACTGCGTCTATAACTGTTAATACCCGATACTCATCTATTGAGTTACAATAACATGTTTTCCCATTTTTTATAATGAATAGATTCTTTTTTATTCTTTTTTGCAATCAAAAATTCAAATTTCCGAGTTTCAGATGTTTTAGCCTTCAGTAAGGATACAGATGGCTTGATATTTTTACAACGACATGAATAAATGGTATATTTTCCAAGAATGATTATGTGATTTAACAAACAATTCCCAGGGATATTATCGGAAATACCAAAGAGGATTGTTACCTCATCAAGCTTATCAATTTTAATATTGTAAGTATTTAACCAAGAAATAACCGAAAGCCAAAAATTTTTAGTGTAAGTACAGCTGATTAGAAGATGCTCAAGAGTTTCTTCGTGATCTCCACAAAAGGTACACATCGGAGAAGGAACCAAACTCATTTTATATAGGATTTTATTGGTGTAGAGAATACGATTTAAGATTTTGTATTGAAAGGCTCTCGTTCTGGTGTCAAGAGTGACTCGACCCGGCAATAGATAAATATTTTTCCAGTCTATATTACCTGAAATATTGTATACGGAATTAAACTTAGATTGGGCAGTCGGAGAAATCTGGATTCGTTTGACCAGGGTGGAATAGATTGATTTTGAAGTCATTCTAGTTATATCTTGAACATCGTCTGAAACAGTTTTGTCAATTCGGTTGTTATTATTCTCTCCAACGTTAAGGAGCTGTTTCCAGTTAGGCGGAATGGCGGAAAAAATGCCTTGTAGGAGTAAGTAATCTGACAAGGAGAGATTTTTCTCTCTAAAAGCGTCCCACCTTTTTAATTTTGAGTCATTTGAGAGAATATCTCCAAGTTTCACAAAACCTGCTTCTTTTATTCTCTTGTTGTATATTGATTTCTTGTTAATCAAGAGGGATTGGACTTAATCTCGTGCGTTAGCCGAAGGTTGAATAGGAAAGCTGTTTCTCTAAACATGAGTCAAATTTTGTAGAATTATAATTCAATTGATTTACTCAACGTCATGCTTCAGTTGACATCTTCGTGCATGTATATTTTATTAGTTTACCAATTGATGTACTTCGCGATACGAACCAACTTAATCTCTCATTCAAAACTCATCACTTTACATGATTTGAATTGAAACAAGTGGAAGTTTTACTATACTGATTTACTTTGAAAATCAAGTACGTGAATGCTTGAAAGGATTCATGAGGTCTAAGAAATAACTGCTTTATCGTACTTGTTTTGTCGACCTTGAAGTTTCGGAGTTGAGCCGAAGGAGTGATATGTTAAGTGCAAGAGTATTACATTTTTAACCTTAGGTACAGCAAATTAGTTGACCTATCCAGTTTTAGAAAAGATAAGCTAAAGTTTTGTATCTGATTCGTATGATTATTGCTGAGCAATGGGAAATAGAGCACAATGAACAGAAGTATTTAATAGAGTTGAAAATTGGGGCGCAAACATGTGGTAATCAAACAGTCTTTGATAGCAAAGCGGGCAAAAGTGCTTTTTTCGTATTTAGAAATGTTTGCCCGAAGAAAGTAGTCAAAATTAATATTATTTCTCCCAAATAACTTGAGAGAATGAGTTAACGTCGTATAAACCGCGGGAAGAAAGCTCTCCAGCATCCTATCTTGCATACATTAAGAACGAAAAATGGCAAGCTGACAGAGTGTCAATTTCATTTTTCACGATAGTATGTTTAAACATCATAACTTTGACAAGACACAAAAGGATTAGATTGCACACGATCCTTAAAAAAGGCCTACTTTTTGAACACAAAAGTTGTTTCTTTATATTTGAGCCACATCATTTCAAATTATTATTCATCCCTTGCCGGGTGACCTTTTACTTCCATCTCATTGTACAATTTTTAAACTACTACAAATGTTTACACACTGCTTGTGCTCCCATTTTTTCGTTTAAGTAAAATATACTTATGTTCTTCCATTTTAAATAAGGTAAGTTGAATTTCTTTCACAGTGCTTAAAAATTATTAAATGATGACATGGAATATCACACTGGATTCACTAATTAGCGGCCTTGTGTGATCATATAAAAGTGATCTTATAAGGGACCTCTTGTTGTAGCGTTTAGATCACCCCAGATGAAGGCACTAGACAGGAGTGTCGAAACGTTGGGTCTATGAATTGTAACTTCTTCGGTTACACTCATTAAATCTGTAAACCAGAGTAGCATCAAACTATGTCTGATTGTCCACCAGGTTGCCGTGTGAACTTTAATATATAGAATAGTTTATTTAATGTCGAAGACGTGGAAGTGTTTCCACAACCTTCCGAGCGAGGGGCTCATGCTGAAAACGAGAGGCTCATATTAAAAACGCTCGACAAACTGAAAATATAAAGCAAGATAAAGTTTTAGTTATGCATATCCAAATGTTAAAAAAAACATATATATATTAAATCCCCTGATGTAAATATATTAAATCCCCTGATGAGTGGGCAACCACGAAACAGGTCTGTAGGGATGAACTGGTAGTTTATTTGTCTTTTTCCTCCCACAATATATATATGTATGCATGTATATAAATCTTGGTTATAGTCTATCCTTTCGGTATAGTGCTCGATAAATTCGCAGAGCGTGGTATATCTGAAGGTTGAACTAATCAAGATTACAATGGAATCACTGATTGACTAACTACTGTATATATTGAAACTAAGTGAGGTACACTCTTAATTGAATTCTGTCTGATAATCGCATAAGCGTGAAACTCAGAGTCACAGAAAAGTTATGCCTCATAGATAAGTTCAAACTTAAGATATATATATATATATATAAATAGGAAAAAGACAAATAAACTACAAGTTCATCCCTACAGACCTGTTGCCCCCTCATCAGGGGATTTAATGAGAATAATCTTTACCATCGCTTATCTACAATATAATCTAATTTATGCAGTGCGAAATTTAACAGTTTGGTTGT